GTTCTTCTTGTCAGGAATATACAGTTTACTTGTAGAGTAATATTCGTATCATCTTACCAACTCCTATATCTTAATATTATTCTTTCATTATGTGGAAAGTTTTCATGAATAATATACAGGTATGACCGATTAGGTAGCTGCGTATTGCGCATCCTAATATTACCACAAAGTTGTTTACTTTACAGCTATTTATTGTTTCTGAATTGCCGCATTGCCAAGGCATTGCTTGCTTCAACTGTACAAAAGTTTAGGAAGCAGTGATTGAAATAATGTTTGTTAATGGGTGTGTGTTGAAGAATTTCGCACTGCTTCCCTACGTATGCATTTAGCGTATGTAGGCGTTTTAAATTCCGCTTGTATACATAACGGGGCACGATTTACATATTATAAATTGAAAACAGCCGTACCAGTATGAAGGGGCAAATACTACCCGCAGCACAAGAGTCGCTTAATACGTGGTTGCCTACCTTACCCCTTGCTCAGAAACTGGTATTCCCTTTGAGAAAAAAGTTTCTTTGATACTATTGCAGGAGGAAGTCATTTTCGCAAGCTTTATTTCCTGGTGTAGTCTATTTGGGTTTTACCTGTGTGTTATCATTCACAGAAAGTGATGAATAAGCGTAGTTTTTGTTGTCATTGTGCAGGAAGAAAGGTTTTCATTTCTTAAACACTTCTCAATTTACTACTATGTAGTAAATGTACTAGTATATTTCTTCCTTTATTATTCTGTTTGATTAATAATATGTTCAATATTTTAAATTGTCATAAAACATATTTTTATACAAGTACGACTCCAAAATCACGTCTCTTGTAGTGCGAATGCGCAATATTGTACCCTTCCTTAATACATGGCTAGCACGTACCTGCTCCACTTTCGACAGGGAAAACCATCGTCTGCAGCCTAATGAGTTGATGCCATTCTGTGGCTGGATGTTGACTCCCTGAAGCGACAGAAGTGCCCCAAGCGGGCGAGATCGTCGCCCTCGGCGGCGGTGTAATCCCCTTGACACGCATTCGCGCGCTATTCGTCTTCTCGCGCTACGGATCGTAACCCACACCGCGCAGACGCTGCCCTGTAAATCTCTATTAGGTCGTAAGGTATGAATTATGAATCAGGCGCGTCTCCGATAGATTCGCGTGGGGCGTTGTGAATCACGGGATGAGCCGGTGTAGGCGGAGGCAGCGCCTGCTACATAATGCAGCGCCGATGCAGATCCGCTGCCGGGGGTGGGGGTGGGGGGTGGTAGCGTCTTCGAGCTGTGCTTCGCCCCCCTGCCGTCATCTGCGCATGCGACTAAACTGCCAGGGGTGGCTCTGAGTATGGTGCCTGCCCTTCGCTCTAGAATGGGGCGACGGCCTTTAGATTCTAGGTGAATGCCAGAGTATACCCTAAAAACAGGCCCATCACGATCATTATTTCTCAAAGTCTCCTCTTTCCTTACACACACGCACACGCATGTGTGTGCGTTTACATGAAGTACACTGCAGCACATGTTGACAGACCACTAGGAAGACATTTTATCCAAGCTGCTGCAGTGTACCGCACAGATAGAATGAGCAAAACATCCACAAAGCTAGGCGATAAAGGTCGGCGATAGATCTTAGGTTCTAACGGGAAAGGAATTTTACCTCCTCCCAGGATGTAACACGAGCTAGACTTACGAAACCAATTATGTAACTAGTTTACGCGAAAGAAAGAACATTAAAATGCATACTAAAGAAGTTCTGTATTTAACACGTGAATTATAAATACATTCCTTTGTATACTTAAAATCAGAAATTTGTCATTTCGTTTTGCAAGCCGATAACTGTACTTCCGATAGTGACTGAATTGGCATTATTTAACAATGAGTGAATAAATAAGAGGAAATAAATATTTTAAATCCAATAAATCGCCGCCTCAGTTTTACAACGAAAAAAGTAAATTCTTGAACACTGACAAAAAATCCCAAATTCGAAAAGAATCACGAATTGAACGTAACCAGCGTGTAGTTCAAGGCAGTATTATTTTTAAACGCCACAAAGATTCGCTTTTTTCACTTTTGCATACGTACTTGCGTACTTTTTCTTTTAATCCTTCAATGGCGTAAACGAAATTGTAAAAAATTGACGAAATCAAGAAATTATTTATTTACATTTAGATCCGGGTCTTCGTTATCATCCATTCTAAAGCTCTGTCAACACAGGCGCGACGGTGAAAGACGCTATGCATCAACGAAGAACATTACGACAGTGAAGAACAATAACCTCTGTTTTTAAATACTGTTCTCCTGCAATTCCAGGCGATTAACTTAAGAATTTAAGCTATTTAATTACGTTTTCCTAATAAAGCAAATGTTCCCAATTATCAGAAGTATTTGGCAATGCTAGATTCATTTAACTTAAACCAAGTTTTGAAGAAAAGAAGAACGCATAGTCGGAAACATTTCTGCCAACAAGCCGGACTGACTGATTTTCTGGATCATGACTGGCCTTCATGATTTTAGAATACACTAAAGATCAGTTTTGAATGTCCTAAAGGATTCAATTAATATAACATTTACAAAAAAATGCATCGCTTATTATAAAGAGTTATTAATCAGAACGTATTAACTTACTTTTGTAAATTTTAAAAATATTTTAGTTTCCTTGTGTTATTGTACCTCTACAGAAAAATAAATTTTTTCTCTATCACCCCACTACTCGCGATGTTTTTACTGTTTCTTTTTAGAGATGGTGTTAATGCAAACTAGTTTGTTTTATTCCATTACGCTGTAAAAATACATTTGGCTATGTTGCATTCACGTAATTGTAGTTGTAGTTGTATAAGTTATATCTTTACAATATTGATGGTAGAGCTGTGTTTCACGCGCGATCAACTTGTCAATGTTAAGATCATTCAGGCCCACGGCAGCAGACGACCGACTCACAGTGTCGGAATTTGTGTGAACTACGAAGAATGATGGTAACTGCTGCCTTTATTAAAATTATATTGTTTATTGCAGAGATTTCGGCTAAAACCACAAGAACAGACACTATACATAGCTCGTGTTGCCAAAGTGAATCTCAAACATTGATAGTGTTTGTAGTGCTGGCGGAATACGCTTTTCTGCTGTTGGGGTATATCTTTGCTCCGCGCGAATACTGGAGTGAAAATATAAAAAAAATGAAAAGTAAATACCAGTGTTACGTAACACTAAATATCACCCCCAAACCCTATGTGACATCGGATCATTTCTTTAAACGCCGTTCATCCTCTTTATTGTTAAGTAATTTATGTCCGACTCCAAAGCTCTGGGATGTGGAAGGAGTTGGTTGGGATGGTAGCGGTGTGGAGTGCCGCTTTGCTCCAGCAACGCCTCCTGCAGCTCCCATACAGCGCGCTGTGCCTGCCCGCCAGAACGCATGCGAGCACAGCAATGCAAAAACGCTACGCGTATCTTACGCTAAAGATATTTTTTAAACTCCATTTTTAAGAAAATGTTTAAAAATATTCTTAACTAAAAGTAACGCATGAAAATAACAAATCTCACTCAAAAGAAAATGCAAACCGTGTTTGATAAGAGAAGTGAACAGGTACATGAAATTTTACAAGAAACTAATGACGGTTGCAATCATTATCCGAGACTGAGGAAGGATAAGTCTCTATGGAATCATGGTTTTGTGATCGAAGACGTAAAATTGTTTCTTTCAAAGTCTTGATTTCAAATAACTTTTCCGAGTTTATTTTTGAGAATAATATTTACACACGTTTAGATGACAAACGTTTTTCCTGTTGCACTTTTTATTCTGCAATTGAAGACTATATTGAGTGTTCAGTGTAATGTAGGAAAGTGTAATTAAATATGACCATGTAGGGGACAGTGCAGTGCAATTGAATGTAGTGGTTGCACCAAAAACGTGAGATGTTCATCGCCTAGGTGAGATTTGATCAATGTGATTACTCTTCATTTTGTCATGACTTCAACTATGTCCTTTTTTAGTTGCTAATATATAGCAATACTTTATCTCAATTTGAAAGGTAACGGTGTCCATTAATGATTGTCTAATCAATATTGATAGATTATATTCCTGTGTTTTCAATATTTATAGAAGAATAATAGTTAATTGTTCCTTTAATAAACTTTATGCGTTGATTGGTGAATTAATATTATTAGTATATTAATTTTAATATCATTAATTTATTTTGTAAATCACTGTCACCGAGTTAATAAATTGCAATTACATCTTATCTCACGAAGCCTCCTAAGATTTGCAGTTACTCTTCGTTTAGCGGGGGTGGGTGGGGTCGGGCGAAGCGAAACGGACAGGAGAGTGGGGGGCGCGTGAAGGACGCGGGCGGGCCGCGGCGGCCGCGGGCCTGACTTGAGCTGAGAAATATCTCCCTTCGGGCTGCGAGGTGAGAGTGGGAGCGGGGTCCGGAGTGGGAGCGGAGTCGATTAATCGTCGCGCGCGCCGTGCAGCGCCACTCACTTGTTTGCGCCACGGATCGACACCGGCGCCGCACGTCGCTCGTTTGTTTCCCCGAGGGAAGCGCCGCTCAGCGCTGGGAGCAAGAGGCCCCCGATCGAGCCTCGGGCGCGTGCGCCGAATGGCTGAGAAGTGGCACTGCGGGTGCTTGAGGAGGAGAATGGTGAGGTGGGTACTTCCCAGTGCGAGTTGTATACTACTACAAGTACTTTCCTTCTTTTCTGCTATTTTACATACACATGTCTCTGATCAAATGTTACAAACGTCTGGTGAAATAGGGGGGGGGGTCCAAGATGACCCTTTTTCACAATGATTTTGGGGATAGCAACTTTCAGATAACCAAGGTTCACATGTGACATGTACCGGTGCTCGGTAGAAACCAAAAATATCTTTGATTGCGTCAGCACGACTCCAGCGAATACCGTTGAATGGCCTTATTATCAGAGAAATTGTCTTATTTACATTCGTTGTGTGAAAGTTTCTTCCACATGTTAATTGGCAAAAATTCATCATCTTCGACATCTCTACACGACATATAAGTTTTCGTCAGCATGCGTGAGCAAGCACGGGGGAAAGGTGAGCGAAGTAGCATATAAAGAAATTGTTTAAAGACAAAGAAATATACATTAGGTAGTCCAGTTTTCGAATCAGCATTTAATATCCACAATGCATATATTTTATTAGTGTGCTGCGATGGTGTAAAATTCTGCTTGACAGACAGTGGGCTCAATTTCCCTGGGAACGATGCAGACGGGAGTGTTTCAAGAACTCACTCTGCAAAAGGCATGCTTTCTAGTCATCTTGAATAGGCGGTTTGGGATGGCTCGCCCGAAGTTCATAGTGACTCAAACATGAAATGTGTCAAACAGTTATGTGCATCGTATCCTGGAACCTTTCTTTCGAAGTTTGCCAAGTGAGCGTAATTACGGTAATTTTCAACAAGACTCCGCAACCGCTGCGTCAGCTTCCTTACGGCTGTACATGCCGTTTAGGGAGACAGAATTATCACACGTGGGTTGCGGCCTACATGCTTTTCTGACCTGATTCCGTGAGATTTCTTTCTGTGGAGATTCCTAAAAGATCGTGTGTATGTGACAATCCCCACATGGAAGAAAAATTAAGGCCCAATATACAGGAGCAGATTTCTACAATACTGCTGTACATTCAAGAACAAATAAAAAGACTACAGTTCTTATCAACAATGCAGCTTTATTATTCCGAGCCCCCGAGCATAAACCAAGTAGAAACCAGTTTGCCGTTTTCCAGAAGAGGTTCCTTCAACACAAGCACTGATCATCAACCACCTGGAGAATCACCGTTACCAACACTTCACGCCAAATAGCCTAGTCGCTCACTGCGCTCGTTCGCTGCACTCGGACCATCACTGTCCCCGGTCCCGCGGGCCGGCCGCTTTGTAGCTCCCGACCCTGCGGAGCGAGTCTCCCTTTTCCCGCGCCGTTCTGGCTCAATGGGCGGCTCGGCTGACGTCCTGCTCCCTAGCGGCGCCTCCAAACACCTTTCATTGCTGGGCCCGAAGCCCATCCGGTCGGTGCTAGTGTGCCACCAGTCTCTCCGGCGCCACCTCTGGGCCACTGTCGCGGCCCTATCTGTTTATGCCATAACAAATACCACCATACATCCTTTACCGAGTGACCTAGAACTTGTTGAGGGTATGTCAAGAATGCATCAGAGCCAACTGTGAGCAGTTTCATAATCTACTATAATGTGAGTATAATGTAAACTTTCCGGTAGCGAAAAGTCACCTTCCCTCTTCGGCAGTTCTACCTACCGCCCTTACTGGATTTCCCCAGCATCCACAGCCTCCTTTGCCAAGGCAAAATATCCGCGCGACCGAAAGATTTATAAAAGGGTTGCGCTGGATTACTGGTTGTAACTACAAGTACTCGAATTTTCTGGCACTTAATCCTCCGTTGCATTTTCACCAAGTAAAATGCTCTTTTCTAATAATTTGAAATAATTAATTCCTATTTTATTCCCAAATTGTCAAATGTATTACGCCAAACGTTTTTGGAAGAAAAATAATTGTGAAAAAAGCTTACGAAACTTCCAGGCTAAAATAAAAGAACCACAGTGGTATTCAGATTCGCTTCTTGCTCTCAGAGGCGAAATACAGCAAGACTTGAAATTAAATTCTTTACAGTCCAGCAGAGGTATTATATTACTGCTCCGTATAATTAATGATGCTCTGAGCTGTCCGCCTTAATTGAATCGCGAGTTCTTTGTGATGTCAGAAAACTACTTGCGTTCGTTTTATTCCTCCAGCTGCCAAAGGCAGCCCTTGGCTACGCATAATAGAAAACACCAGGGCAACTCTTTAACCGGCTGTCGTCTTCCACATATACAATTAGAATAATATTAAAATACTGGGAGCATATTTTTATTTACGTTTTTATTTTATCGGCGTTTTTACGTATCAAAAGGTTGCCTCTCGTTTTGGACTTCCAGCTTGTGAACCTTTCCAAATGCCATTGTCCATTCTTCTTTGATGCGTGATTTCTATTCACAAATTCCAAATTTTGTGAGACGTTCCCCGTTTTATTCTTCATGAATGAGACTAATGAAAGACATGAAATCACTTTGTATCTGTCGTTATTCTCAGATAGCCATACAATTGTATAGTTCTACATTGTAGACTTTTCCTAAAGGATTATATTTGTTTTGTCCGTTTCCGAATTTCTGCATTTTTTTCATTCTAGTAGAAGTATTTATGCATTCCAGAATTATGTCATTCTTGAGTGCATTTTAGAATTCGGCATTTTCTCCTTAATTCATCCTTTTCTCTTGCTCTTATTTTGTTTATATTAATCATATTTCTGTTGGTACGTCAAATCCAAACTCTCCACTTTAAGTATGATTACTTTAAAAATGTACGAATGATTATACTTGTGAATGTATACTTTTATGTATTTAAACAATATGACTGGGAGTTAACGATATTCGAGCTACTGGATTTATATATTATTCGATTAATGATAGATTATCATTTTGTCTTATTTTTGAATTACAGATTATATTTACTTACTCTAAACCAACGAAGAAGTTTCTCAATGTCAATATTACGTTGCTAGATGTTTTTATATTTCTAATACAAATATTTTTTGTAGACTAATTATAAGAAGCGATATGCCAAATAATTTAAAATAATGTTCTTCATTTTTTCCTTGCCGCACGAACAATTCATTTTTGAACCACTGTACGCAGAGTGCTCTCATTTGGAAAATGGCGAAGAATAAAAGCGGGGGGATTTCAGCATGGGATTGGGCGAAACGTTTCCTCCGAAGCCGAAGGAACAGAAACACCTACTTAACATGCAGAGCACGCCTCCATAGCGGCAGAGAAAGAGAAATCTTAGGAACTTCGGCGTCCGCTAGGCACAGCTTTTGTTTGAAATATTAATTCCTTGAAAGCAAAGAGCGCTTTATTGCCATTTGCTGGGAAATGCGAACGCTCCCCGTCGCCTCGTCCCCAAGAGCAGCTCGAAGTCGGCGTGCGCTCTTCATGTGGAGCCAGCCGCCAACTAACTGGAGAAGTAATGCGCACGCACTCATCGTCAACCACCAAAACTCCAAAGACAACTCTTCTGAATGCACACACCAGATCAAAGAAATATTTAACTGTGTTCAAAGAAGTTTGCAAATGAATCACTTTTTGTCATAGTATAAATCTGTTTGTATCCATCAGGAGCGTGATGATAGAACTCTTTTTTTATATCATAAATGGGAAGGTCATTTCAGAACGTTTCCCTAGTTTCAAAAACGGATAAAAATAATAATTTTATTAATCCTAAGCCGCTCTAGATATGCATCCCTGGCAGACAAACCTGTACGCAAATCTCGAGAGGTATCGCATGCTCTACACCTACACAAGTAATACCATTCTTGCAGATGTAGCAGCGTTTGTTGCAGATTTTATTGCCTCAATGACAGTCACACGACGTGGAGATGCGCTGCGCCCAAATGTTCAATGTTGACGACTTTTACAGCTCTGTGGACGCGGCCGGTTGTCGGCCGGCGGTTCGCCAGAGCGAATGCTGATTGGGGAGATTTGATCGACGCCGCGGGCGGAGTGGTTTCAATTGCCATCGGCGCTTCCCGTTGGTTTCAACGCGATTTTTATCTGCCGTCGGCAATCATCACCGACCCGATTATCTTGGCAGTCCGTCTATCTCCTCCGTCGTTCTGTCCCGTCCTAACTGGCTTTTGCCGCTCTGTCAGCACGTGTAGGGGAATATTTCTGAAAGATTGGCAACAAGTGTAGATTTACGAATGATTCGTTTCATTTTGCAAAATGATTTCAATGGCTGATTTCTTATAATATTTGTGAATTTGAATTAATAATTGTTCAAATAAGTGATTAATAACTTCAGATTTGAAGCAAATTATACACTAACATCATTCTTATGAATCTGAAATTTACAAAATTCATTATATTCATTATTTTATCCAGATTGACTAAGATATTAGTGTCCACTAGAGCAATTTCTTGATTATTATTTCATTCACAAGAACATAAGTCCAAAATGTTCAGAAAAATAAAAATCCTAAACACACCACTTGTATTAGATTTGAATTCGCATGAAATGTTCGGTTTGTGTTTAAAATATTTTACATGTTAGTTCCTTTAACTTTTCTGAATTGATCACAAAGTCATGTAATTTTTAGTTTCAGTTAGAGAAAATATTCAATCAAAAATCTTATATTTGAGTTGTGTGCACTTTGATATCTAAAGCTATTTTAATAATTTTTTGCATGGCCATTGTCACCATGGCCTGTGCGTGAGCAATTATTTCCACGTTTCTTTGAATTTCACTCTTTCGGGCAACTGCTATTATTTGCGTTGTTCACTCCGCGTCGGAGCAACTTCGTGCTCTGATGATTCCACCAATGAGGTTTCTCGTTGCAGAGGCCACAGAGTGGGAGAGGGGGGCCTCCTGAGGTTCATTTCACTGTTTCCAGGGATCCCCTAATTGCTTGTTGTGACGTGAGTCTATGACAGCTTAACGGGCTATTATTTGATGGTAATGTTTTATCCCTTTCTCTCACGTTGTCAAGTGGACACCAGCTCGTGTATGCGGGATTTGCTGTGGCTGTCGACCCACATTCTGTTTTGCAGATGGTTGAAACTTCAGATGTGTGTATTCACATAAACCACTTCTTCACTCTTTCCCTGGTTTTCTCGAACTTAAGAAAGATTTACTTAACACTTGTAACTTACAGACATTAATTCTTATCAAGACAGAAATTGGAATAAAGTTTTTACATAATGAATTATTCAAAATTATTTTGATCAAGGATAAACTTGTGTTAATGTTATAATTTTAAGTTTTTCTCGTATTTCGTAACCTGCCATTGATTGATGGGTGAGCTACGCGCTCACCTTCGATTTTAATTGTTTCTATAACAAATAATAATACCCATAGTTTCTTTAAACTCCTACTTCTCTACTATTCCTTCTCTAACTTACTAGAAATGTATTGGGAGAGTGAGAGGGGAGTATCGAGAGTATCTGCACATTCAGTTGCCAGCGAGATATTTTTTTTGTTGCTTCTGCGTAAA